CTCTTTTCCAGTTTCCCACCCCCCTCGTAAAATTACAAAACAAAGCTGTTCATAATTTGTTCACACGGCAATTTGCATGTTAGAAATGTTGTAGAAATTTGTTCACCTGTTCACGCTGACACGTTTTATTGCAGTTTATAACATTAAAAGTCATTTTAAATAGACTTTCATCTAATGGATTTCAGAAAAAATCAAAGGGGGGAACTGGAAAAGCCTAATGTGTGTATGGGGGGGGGGGGGGCTAAATCTTAACGTTTAGTTAAATCTTGGTTTTGCATTGTTATGAATTGAATTTATTTTGGCTATCACTAAAACAGGACTTAAGCATGGACCTCATGGACTTATCAATCTTTAAGCACGGACCTTTTTAAATTGACTATGACCATTCGTCCTCATTTATTTTGAAATTCAGTTGTTCATCCCAACTTATCCAAACAAACTCGTTCAAGGTCACTAGAATACACCATCAGCAAACGCGGTAACCAGCAATCTCTTCTAGAGGGAGAAAAATATTATCAAGAACTACACAGCGATAATACTTGTCATACATGGCTGTGTTATAGATTGTCCATGATTACTTTCGACAGCTCAAGCGTAAGTGAAAAGAAAAAATCTTGCCACGAAAACATCCCACTTGAGGTAAAATAAAAACTAGTAAGTTTTGATTTCAGCTCGTGCATGAACTGGAATATACTTAAAATAAATATAATGTTCAGCTCTGGAAAACTAAAACGTAAAAACAGAAGTCGTGCGTTTCTGTGGAGTATAGTGAGGATTTTTTCAGCCAAACCAAAAATAGATTGCTCAAAATTGTCGGTTTCAATCTCTGGTAGTTTCTGCTTGCACCTTTAAGCATAGTGCGAAAAAAAATCTTTTTTAGAGTCAATTGTGCTATCAAAGAGGAAAGTCAACTTTGAGCCTCTGAGAACCATTTCTGCGCAATTTACGGGAGATGGCTTCAGGGAGACCGTGGCCAATTTGTCAAAGTATAATTCAAGTGCTTGGCCTAGTCCTCCTTACGAGACCGATAAAAACACTTCGACTCATAACGAACTCATTCATTAGACTAGCCCTTATAACAGAGTGCGATATGGATCTTGGATACAGATACGTGTCTTATTCGCCAATCGGCCAATTATCGAGTATTTTGAAAAAACATGCATCGGCCCACTGGCCAGAGCGAGGTGGCAGGACACCATTTGTCCGCAAAAGCTGTGAAACCAGTTTGAAAGTGCTCTGGACAAAAACAGAAAACAAATAACTCTTTAGAAGGCTGACACCGGGCTTTTCCAACGGGGACGGGGTGTGCACACCCAACACTTCACAAACTTATCGAACATTTGCGACGCAACCAAAGTTAGGCAAAAACAAGCTCGTACGGATTAGATCAGGACAAAAGCCACCAAAAGGAGCAAAATACTAGAATTCCCCATTTTCATTGTCAGAGTTTCTTGAAAGCTATCAAAACAACTGATTTATTTTGCAAGCAATTACCTCTATTTTCTTTAAAAAAGTCTTCATATTTGTTTTTGATGTCAATTTGAATTTTGTTCATTTATTTTAACAGCTCAATATCCGTGAAAAACGCGTTACCAATTGTAGCTTGATACAAATAGTCGCCTAATCAAAAATTACGAAATTTCGCCTGTTACCATTTGTCGCGTAGACTTTTATAGTTTCCATGTTTCACAATATTCTGAGACGTTTGAGGGAATTTTATTGAAAGACTGTGGAATAAAAAAGCTGTCAAGCCGTAAAGCAGGAATTGCCAATAAGCTTAAGTGTTTTATTCCTCTTTGACCTAATTTTTCTCAAATATTTTTTTGGGTTATTTGGGACTCAAACTTAAGCGTCTGTGCTAGTTTAAAGCTGTCGAATGCAAAAAATCCAGCGGCCACTGGATAGCCGCTACTGTCAGACTTGTACTTAGAAATCATAAAAAGGCACGCGAAATCCTTTAAACTGCACGATTATAACATTTAAATTCGAGAGCGGCTGTAACACTGCTCCCGTGCTGCACAAAAACACAACTTTTGGGAACGAACTCTGAACTATTGATAAGGCGAGTTTTTTAACAAAAATTTCGGTCCCTCAATTCAAGCTCACAGGAAATCAAGATTGTTATAATTGTAGCTTGGAGAAAAAGTTAGAACAAACATATCCAGGGGAGGATTTATGGGGGGGTGACCCTAAAAATTTTCTAAAGGCGCTTTCGGCGCCAATATATACTAATTTTGAGGGGGAAAGTTTCCAAAAAGAGCCCAAAATCGGCCAAAACAGATAATTTGGCGAACACAGCGTCTTTATAGTGCTTTAGGAGAGCTCGGAAAATCAATTTGGCCGACCTAAAAAAAAGGTCGTCAAAATTTTCGAAAACTTTTTGAAAATCCGCCGCCCCCTCGAGAAAACCCTGAGCCCGCCCCTGAACATATTCTTTCAATCGAAACGCTTTTGCTTTGAAACGCTTTTGCTTTGAAAAAGACAATATACCATACTCATTGCATATAGCAAAAAGCGAAAAATCTTTTGAAAAAATCTAAGCCGAGAAAACTGCATTTCTCGAGCAAAAAAAAAACAGAGACAACAATCAGGTCTCAAGAACAAAAGCTTTTCAGAAAAAACCATGTGAGCCCTCTTTCTGCAAAGCAAATTACAAAAACAGAACCTTAGATAAAGCGAGGGTAGCCAGTAGCTCGCTTGGTCAGAAGCATGATATCATTATAAAGTAAACGGCGGAAAAAACTTGTTTTTGTTCAGACTTTCGAAAAAAGTAAGGAATCTATATGCTGAGAGTGTCTTTTTTATTCAGACTAATTCTCAAAAAAGTTTCGCTGGGTGGATCGATAGATGATCATCGTGGTCCCAAAAGGGTGGCGCTCATCACTAGACTATCTTCACTTAACGATTGCTGTGAATCGCTGAGTAATAGACTTAACTTTACGCATGGCGAATTATCCAGCACAACAAGATCGTTCTCATTTCAATTGGGGCAGGATACTTGGTTTCATTATTTCCAAACACGATTCTTAATATTCATCGTAAAACTCACAGCTTGTCAATGTTTCATTAACCAAAAACTATTCGAGACCAGTTTTTGGGCACTCGGAACATTCAGGGCTGTGCCCTGATATGAGCAGTCTTGTTTTATTAAGGGAGTGATTGACATAGTTTAGAAAAAATTGCAAAAAAAAGAATGAGAGGCAAAAAAAACTAAATTAACCTGGAACATGTAATAAAGTTAACTTTTAGTACAACTATTAGATTTGAAGAGAACTGTAGATAAGTCTGTCAAGGACGTTACTTTAGCATAGTCTGACACAATTGCGGATTTAGGAGAGTCGGGGCGAACACACTAAAGGAGACCTAAAATTTTTCTTCAGGCGCTTTTGCCGCCAATAGATACTTAACTTGAATGGAAGCGCTTGTCAAAAAACGCAGTTTTTTTCGACGGTTTCCAAAAAAAAATTGCTTGATCTTTTAAAATTTGCCTGCAACGCAGAAATTTAATCAAAATGAAGTCATTATAAGGGGTTTTCAAATTTGTTTTCCAAAAAACCCCCCTCGAGAAAACCTAGATCTGCGCTTTCTCTGAAAAACAGTAAAACTCAGTGCGGTTTTGTCGACACAAACACTTTTTTGATTTCTTGTTGGGATTTGAACCTTTCATCAACCAAGGGGTCTTTCCTTTGGGATAATTTTATGACATCCATTTTAGGCCCAAGAGCGTTAAAATTTTTCTTAAGTCGCCATTATACACTAACTTTGAAGGTGAGCGCATGCCAAAAAAACGCGGCTTTTCGTCAAAATTTTCCAAAAAACCTATAACGATTTTTTTACCTGTTTATTCAAGAACTTGCCAGAGACGCAAAAAAATGTCAAAAAATTGTCTACTAGTGTTCTGGGAGCACTTTGAAACTCAATTTGGTCGACCTAAAATAAACCAACAAAATTTGAGACCTATAAACTTTTTTGAAAATCCATCCCCTCGAGAAAATCCTAGATCCGCCATTGATAACAAGTGAAAACTTAAAAGCATTTTTAGCTAATTGAAATTGAAATAGGTAATTGGATACGGCACAATCAACTACGGTTGTGATCGAAAAACGGATAAATCAAACAAAACAAAAAACTCAAAAGTATATTTTCCCAAGAAAAGACCTACATCAATTTAACGCGCGAAACAATCCAAAAAATTCAAACAAGTTTTCTCGACTAAAAAATTTTTGAAATGCCGCAAAAACTCTAACCGAAAGGGCTATCACTTAATTAGTTGTGGTACCTGAGTTTGCGTGGAAAAAGTATCACTCAGAGAAACAGTTTTGCTATGCATATGGCGCAGTATTTTTTCTTTATATTATATACTGACAAATGATATTTAAACACAGCACGTTTTTTCCAAAAAAAAATATTGAATTTTTTCTGTATTTTTCAAGGAAAATGCTCGATAAAAAGCATGCAATGATACCCGCTTAAAACTATATTTCACCATTATATAGCGAAAGAAAAATAGCTTCCCGAAAAATGGCGAGCGACTCAAATGAAGTGATGACATCTATTCACTCTTTGCAAGATTTGTGTCTGAATAGAGCAAAAATCAGAAGAGTTTTGCAACAATGCAGAACTTTTTTGAAATAACTTTTTGGAACCACTATCACAATTGAAAGGTCTTTCATATGATACCACGCTTGACAGTATACGAGCTTTCCTTATGGTAACTGAAATCACTTGGAAAAAGATGACTATCTAGCATGTTCTTTTCCATTACTCCAAGAGCTGTCGGAAAGAAAACAGTTGCAACAGCTTTCAACTTTTCTGTTCGGAAAGGCCGAATAATGAGGTGAAGGGATGTCCATTTCGAACATTAACTGGTTTAAAAACCAACTCCACTGATTTTTCTTTTCTTTCAAATCATGCTACTTTGTCAGCTGAATTTATTGATTGCCTTGGCTCACGCTGTTCATATGCATTACATATTGTTAAGAAGCTACCTTTGTACAAAAAACAGGTAACCAGACTCATATTACAAATGACCAAACTAAAAATATTAGAAATCTAGATACATTTGAATTAGACTAGGATTGGTTATTTGAATGTAAAGCTGTCTTTTTTGTATTTACAAATAGCGTATTCTATGAGCAGTTCGAGTCTACTAGCTACTTCTATATTCTCGCAGTCCACTTTTTGCGTCCTCTCTTTCTCAAAAAATAGAGGATCGCTTGTGAGCTGACTTTCGATGGTTAGAATGCATTGATCTGTGCCATTTCTACGCATTATCGAGCACCCGATCAAACTCTCCACACATAGCTGAAATTCGATGTTGCTGTCTTCGGGGGAGGAGTTCTGAATAAGCACCAGTCGGCTGTTCGTGATTAACATACGCTTCATTGCGTCTGGATTTATTAGCACCGTTTCGAACGCAATCAGCTTCTCGCTTAAGTCGAAATTATTCAACTGGTAAAGAAACTCCTGGTTCCTTGCCATGCTGTCATCATAGGCAGTTACTAACTTAGAGTACGTGCAGCACCTAGGGATTCTGAACCGCTCCACTCTCTCGATCTCAGTAGACGTCGTGTATTTCATCGCATTGGCAGTAAAATAAGCGAAGTCCAACACTCCAATTGACGGTTTCGCTATAGCTCCAGTGACGCCCCGCATCACGCCAACAATTCCACCCGTAACCCCGCCGTCTCTGAATCCTTTGTAGGGCTGGGTGGCTATGCCTTTTATTCCGTCTGTTACGCCTTTAACTAAACCCAAGACTCCTCCGCACATATTACTCGAAACTCCTTTAGAGTAGGTCTCTCTGAACAATTCTCGCTGTTCTTGATCTTCCTCGTCAAAAAACCAAGATCCTATTCCGTCTGACAGAGATTCCGCTATTTTGCTCGTGCTATTCGAAACGCTATTGGTTACAAATCGCGCGAAGTTAGAGACCGAATCCGCCGAATTGTCGATCTGCCGAACACCGCTGTTCACATCTTTTAGCAAGCCAATCGGATTGCCGAGAAAGTCCATGTGACCCAAAACGTGCAACGCTTGCTTCATTAAAGCCAACTTATAGTTGCGAGTCAGGTCTTGCAAAAACATGTCAAATGAGAGCATGATGTCGTGACAGTAAAACGGTTTGAACACCAGTTTGGCTCCGTCGAATGAAATCAGAGCCAGTTTGTACTTAGACTTGATCATCTGCAGTTCATTGCTTATATTCCTGCTGGTCTGTGCCGTTACATAAATAGAAAATTTATTGACTAAAAACTCCTGGAGAAACAATTTAGATTGCGCGGGAACTGGAGGCGAAGCATCTATCACTTGGTTTGGGTTCCACAATTTTACCTCGTTTTCTGGTCCCCTGCATTGTTCGATGAATTGCACTAGTTTCAGTAAAAGACGTTCAACAACTAGAATGCTCGATTGACCGAGACTCAGTTGGAATTTGTGGATTATTTTACAATTTTCGTATTCCGTATCCGGTTCGTATTCACAGCCTAAGTCTAAAAACACGGGAGGATTGCTGCTGTTTCTGCCTTCAAGGTCAAATAAGGGGCGAAAAATGACCGTTTGATTTCTGAGTGAATTCAGAAGCTGGTTATCGATTTGAAGATATGACGCTTTCACTTTAAGTTTTGCATTTGATGATGCACTTGCCAAGCAATAGGTTCCATAGATATTTTTCAACGAGATATATAATAGTTCTTCGGGAGCATTGTTCATAACTGAAACTGAAATTCCTTCGCTTAACAGAAGCTCGAACTTAGCGAAGAAGGCTGACTTCTTTTCAGATTTCCGGTGATGCGATATCACTTTTCCGCGGGATTTCGATTCTGCATCTTCAAAGATCAATACTCTGGTCGGCCCCTGGAACTTCATGCTTGTGACTAATTTTCCGGATCCGGGCTTCAGTTTGAACTTTTGCAGCTTGAACGTTGTATTATTTCTCTGGGTGTTCAGGTTCTGTAGCAACACTAAAGAGTTGGCCGACAGTTGTTGCGGGCAAACTGACATGCCGTAGAACTCGTTCACAAGTCGTACCTCAGAATCCATTCGCCATAACTGACTTCGTTTTCCCTTTTCTGCTTGTCGGACACATAGCACATACACAGTTTCGGAAGTCGAGGCACTACTGCCACTTGAACTTTTATCATTCAGAGTCGGTAGCGTCCTTCTTTGAGGAGCAACATCTAGAACCAAGCTTCCCTTATACATTACTCCGTCCACAGCATTGTCGGCATCGAAGCTCTTTGATTTGCCCTCGTTGCGTATCATCCCATTTGGCATTAATCTCCAGATTTGTTCATTTCTTGAAACTGAGCGCCGTTGTAAGACCACTTGACCAGTCGTTGTCACGTCTAACGTTAGTGTTTCAGCGGACAAGGACTGCGTTTTGAACGATTCTTCGTCTGATTTGACAGGAAGGACTCCAAAAATTGTAAATGTTTCGTACTCCATGGACAATGATTCTTTCTCGTCGTCTAAATCTATTAGTACTGAATGACTTTGGTGCACGTTGCATTTGATTCGTGCGTGCTGCATAGAGAAGTCAAGACAAAATGGTAAGGAACTCTTAGGTGGCACCAAGCTGGTAAATTCTGCCAATTTATCACTAGGACAGTCTGCTTGACGAAACTGCACCTCAACTTTCGAGTCGTTCTGGATAACATACTGAGGTGGCAGGAAATTATTTCGGAAGTATACCAAATGTTGCGAATTCTTTTCAACTACGTCTACATGTACTATGCTATTCGGCACAAACCGGTCCTTAGATCGCAAGTAGATATCAATGGAAGATGATCCCGAAATACAGAACCCACCACACCAAATAGAGTCTTTTTTCGCTAATCTGACGGCAAGCAGCCCGGATACATCGTCAGCATTCCATTGGAAACTGGTGCAGCTTCCGGCCAATACGTGGTAATAATCTGGGGTTGATCGATCAACAGTTCCGGCCTGTTTTACAAACAACTCAATGTTAGTATAGTTGAACAACATATAAGTCGGCTTAACAACGATAAAATTTGTGTTCGCGTGATCATCTTTCCCTTCAAAAATTTCGTAGGAGAAGGAGTAAGTCTTTGAAATTTCGCCACTTGAGAGATAACTTCGGGTTTCCTCTGCCGAGAAATCAACCGAGACTAAGCCATGACCTGGTTTAAAGTAGTCACAGTATACTTTGTCCGATGACCATCTGGGAGGTGGCCTCCACGTTGATGTATTCGGTTTAGATCCACTTCGGACAGAAAGAGACCTCAGGCTACCAGCTGCAAATGACATCATGATTGGAGTGCTGCATGTCGCCACCTCGTTTTCTTCTGTCTGACCAGGAACCTCCCAGTCACACTCTACTTGCTTGAAGACTAGAGGAATTCCAGTCTTGTTGATTAACCAGTAAGCTGCGTATATGTCTATTTTTAGACCTCCGCTCACGGTAGAGAGAATCCTCGCTTCCAAACTCAGAGGTCGATTGTTCATGTCAAACAGTTTGACCAGCAGTGAAACTCCGTTGCCAACTGCTTCACTATTTATAACAAGCGGATGACGATGACGGAATCCTTCAATTCTGACATGGAACTTGAGTGTCTCTGACAGGTCGACCATATGCACATTCCTGATTGACTTCTGTTCCAGCTCAATTGTAACTGGAACAATTTCATCTTTATCGTTGGACACATCCAATGAAAACGGAACTGGGAGCAAGTTCTGAATCACGAGGACGGGGCATATTTTGATAGAGTGGCTTGGCTGAGTGACCTCAACGTTCGAGGGATTCCTAAGAAGAGCTCTCGAGTGGATGCATGCATTGTATCGGAAGATTCTTTTGTCATTCAGCAAACATGTTACTTCAAAGTTAGACGTAATCCCCGGAATCTTTACAGACTCCCATTCGATCGTTCTTCTTGGAAACACTTTGGAATCAGCAAGCTCTGGTTTTATGTAAATGTCTGTATAGACCAAATCTAACGGCACATTAAAAATTTCACCTATCACAATTTTGAACTCATTTCTCGGGGAAACACGCCCTGAAGACGTGTCGAAACGTACAGTGATGTCTACGCCCAGAAGGTTCTCAATTTCCAGGCCCGAAGTTACAGTTACGACTCGTTTCGACAGCTCTTTTGAAAATCCCACGTGTAGTAACACTCGCTCTTTCATTTTGATTGCCGGATTTATAGACAAAGTTGTGCGCAAATACGTTCCCACTTCGTTCACTGACAAGGGAGCAATGTTAGAATATCCCCGGATTTGGAGATGCAATAGCTTCTCAATGTGAGATTTCAGAGTCACATTTCTTCTATCTGATTTTCCAGTGAAATCGAACTGCATGGAGGAATTACTGGCAAGATTCTTCCATTTCAGATCCAAGAACCTTTCGTTTTTTTTGAACGGGAGTAATCTTTCACATGTCGCAAATGAGATCGAGAGACCTAGCTTGTTTTCAATAACATATGGCGAGAAGGACGAGCGACCTTTCAACGTGTTTCGGCACCGATTAAAACCACTTTGGAAAATTTTATTCAAATGGTTAACTAACTCTAGCGTAGCAGGAGTAACATTGAAGTCAAGTACTCTATCCGATTCAATGACGAGAACTCTTTTGGAGCAAGTTACACTTTGGTTCCTGCAATTAACACGGAAGCTCCACTGCTCAATCAAAGATTCCCAGCCGGATAAATAGGCGTTGAAGCTGTTGACAAAAAGTTGGGTTGTCAGATTCCATTCAGATTTTTTCACATTCACGTCACCTGAACAAGAGCTGATGTTCACATGCAATAAAGGCAAGTCAGCACTTTTGGTATCATCAATTAGAAACAAAGAAACGGACTCAAAAATCACATCTACAGTCGCAACTTTCAAAGTAACTTTATGGTTGTTGGGATTCCCCATATCTGCTAGGATTTTCTCATCGTCACTACTCTGTTCCAAGCTGCCTTCTACTAACCACATTGAAGCTTTGTTAGGATCGCCGTCAAATTTTTTCAGAGCAATTTCACATTGTTGCTTCGAGTAACCCATCTCAACTAGAAACGCCAGCTTTCCAACATCAACCGATATCTGTTCGTTATAAACACTGGACGCTGTCATAAATGTGACTTTGTATGACTGCATCATGGATAAAAGGAGAACCAAGTCTTGGTACGACAGTCTGGTAATGATGGGACTAACATTCAGCTCCAGGTGACAATTCTTCTGGTTCGAAGATTGGGTTACCGACGCCAGTCCCGATTCCAGGCATCGAGCTTCGATATCAACTTTCAAAGGTTCTATGATTGACAACTTGGTGTGATTTGCAGCGTGGTATACACAAGAAAGTAACTCAACCTCACGAATACTTAGCTTAGCTACTTCGTCAGATGATTTGGGAGACACGCTGATGTAAGCGGAACATTGAATTATAATTGCCGGACTTTCTAAATCGTTAACATTTTCAAGCAAAACGAGCTTGGCCGCGTTCAGAGTGATTTTAAACTCGTCTGACTTCGCTTTGCTACCTGCTGAAACGTCAATCTTAAGTACTTTCTGTGAAGATTTTAGGAAAGGATTACTTGACTGGTTGGTCATGATTGAACCAAGTCCTCCAAAGACAGATCTAGGAGCGAAGTTTGACGCGAAAACTCGACTGGTCGAAAAAAATTCACTCTTTTCAACAGGGATCGATTGAGACACGTGAGTTGGAGCTTTGAGTAAGAAATTTTGAAACATCAGAATCCACTCCAGATTGCATAACACCTCGACATTTGAAAGAATTCCTGACAAAACCTTGTTGACGCGGTTGCTCGAGAAGTTAATCTGTAATTGAGGCTCAGAGACCTTTCGCGAGTCAGATGGCTTTAGAATATGAGTGAAGCTCATTGGCTTCTGATTGATTGGAAAATCTCCGGAACATCTCACGTCTTCGAGCAAGAATGACGACGATCCTAACTCAAACTTAAGAGACCCGTCTGATAAAGTCAAAAGGTCCAACTTCGAATCGGAGAAGGAAAGTTGGGCAAAAGCGGTTTTGTTTTTTGGACAGTAGGCTTTGAATGTGGTGTCGTTTAGGCACAAGTGAAAGTTCAATTTCCTCCATATTGCAACACTTTCAGCAAGTGTCTGCTGCTGCTGCTGACTTTGAATGTATATGTTATCTGATGGCCAGCACAGGTCACTTGTGTTCTCTCCAAAGTTATATTTCAACATGCCTTTAAACAATCTTATGTCTTCTTCTTTCACATTGATGACCAATGCGTGCACTTCACACCTTATTGTCATGTCTGGAATCAAGCGGGAGTTGTCTCCGTCCAAGTTCCTGATCACTTCAACTTCCAAAACGAACGCTTTCTCAAATAGGTTATTTCTGATCTCGTATTTGGACGTGTTTTTATCGTTTGAATAGTATGCCGTTATTATCTCTACGCTATCTATTTTAAGCGACAGCTCGTCTCCAAGGCAAACGTTTTCATCATTCGGTCCGACCGAATCCTTGTCTGCTTCCTCAAGATTTTCGTCTAACAAAGTGAAAGAATTATGAACTACTAAACTTTTTAAAGTAGCGACGAAAATGTCTCGGCTATCGTAGGAATAAGGCAAAATTAGTTCAACTTCAGGGACACAGACATCGAACTGGATTCTGGCTCCGTGTTTCAATGCTGACATTTTTTGACCACTTCTATTGGCATTCATAAACTGGTACATAAGCAGCATTTTGGAAAAGTACTGGAAGAAATTATTGATTTCGGAGAGCATTCTGGCAGTGTGAATGTAAGTTAACTTTCCAGTTTCGAGTCCAAACTCTATGTCGCAATGTCTATTGAGATCTGGATCCGGACAGGTGTACTTGCGTAGTTTCACCTTTAGAGCCCGATCAATCTTTTCAGTCTGCATTCGGTGGCTGTAAATTTTAGACCAGGGAGACTCATCTAGAATCGAAAAACTTCCAAGTTCCAGGTCGAAATTGAACGCTTCTGAAGTCACATTCAAAAAAACACAGGTATTCATGACCACCATCTTTGCAATGTTGTAGGTGGGTTTGGCAAGAATTAATTCCAGTTTCGAAAACTTGGCTTTCAAATCAAATCTTTTCTTGGCTTCTTCTATTACTTGGGAGCTGCTCTGAGTTTCCGTAGCGGCTGAATTAGCAGCTAACAAAGATGGATGGGCTTTCGTTCCAAAGCTAAAAAAGTCAAAAATATGCACCCAAGTTTGTAGGTTAAGTTTCAGGCTAATGTCTCCGAAGTTCACATCAATTTGAGGATCCTGTCCTTTTTTGAATTCAACAGTTGCAAGATTCACACAACTGGCAGCAGGTTTAAACTCAAAAATCTTATCATCGTAGACTTCGTAGCGACTTTGCGTTTGATTTGAGAACAGATCTGTGATTACAATTCCCGAGTGACTCACACTCAATTTAGTCAGAGCAGCATCCTTGTCCAGCAGAACGCTAAACTCGTCAAATTTACAGCAATTTATTTCGCTTTGCTGATAATCCAACAGCACAAACTTTACACAGTTTGCAGTTATTGCTGCACTTATTTTCTGACTTGTCGATTCAGTTTCTTCGATTGACTCGCTGTCGGTAACAGTCTCCATACCATCCCACATGGAACTCTCCTCTACCCTTTTTGAGTTCGGAAAAAATAGGGACGAGTACTGTCGTTCTAAGCGACTAGAGGACTGGGGGCTTTTTGGACTTCGGTCACTGACTATAAAATTATTTGTTTTGCAGCATGCAACTATCGTTTTCATGAACTTATAGACATGCTTAGTCAAAGACAAAATAGCGACGTTTTCCACCAAGATATTCACAGAAATAGGGAGTTCAGCGCTTATGCCAACTTTTGCAGTGATTGAGATCTCATTCGCTATTTGGAGCAAAGTTGTTGCATTGTAGACCAATTCGATGTAGCTAGCCGTCGAAGTACTTTTTTTGAATTCAGTAGGCGAAGATTCTAGCAAGCCTTTTAACTCGAGCTTGAAATTTGTAAGGTTAATTTCAAAATTTTCCAGATTCGATCTCGAATAAAGCGCCCCCAGATGACAAACTAAGACCTCGTGTTCGAAAGAGGAGTCTTGCAAAATTAAAACCGGACTCTCTATGAACAGAGAAAGATCTAATTGCTCGCTGTTCTCGTTCGAGCTCGTGATTGCCTTTGCGATTGAAACTAAACTTGATTTAATCTTCCACAAATAAGATTTGAACTCCTCGGCACATTGTTTGAGCGAACTGAAAAAGTGGGCGTCAAAAAGACAAAATGCTCCTAAGATGTTGATTTGTAGAGAGCATTCATTTTCAGCAATCAGACTCGAGTTATAGGCTGTAATCGACTTAGGAACTGAAGAGTGTTTGTAGCCTGTTCTATAGACATATTCAACGGATACTGCCGGAATTCCACTTTCCTGGGGATGCATATCTGCCATGTAAAACCGAAATGGCGGAAGATTCTTCGAACAATTTCCGACATCTTCCGAGGAGTTTAGTTTGTTCAATACCAGTGTTCCCATTGCAGCTTTTACAATAATGTCGTCATTGTCAAATTTTTCAACCTTGGCTGACAAGTTTCCGAGCGACAGAGAAGCGAACTTAGTTGCTACTTCAGAATCAGCAGTGCTCATTAGAATGAAAACTACGACAAATTCGTCTGCGACTAATTCAAGATCCAAATTGAAACTTTTCCTGGGAGTGGATTCCGAAGCGTCTTCGTTCTGTGCTTGTTCGTTTTCTCCTATTGATTCAGATTCTTTCGATAGTGGCTCTTCTTCAGAATTTAAGGCTGTTAAGACTTTGTCGCAGAATTTCACCAACTCAAAAATGGTTCTCTGGTTAGCAATTGCTTCAACTTTGCTGAACTTACAATTGCAGGCGATCTTCGGACTTTGACTATCATTATTCGAGTGGTGTCTCGAGTATTTAGCCACATTTATCTGGATCAGACCTTTGTTGCTCATTTCCAGTTCATCGAAAATAGAAACCCTTTTGACTGCAGGAACTGAGTCGTGAATCAAAGATTTTGAGCTGTGAGGATCAAAATGTGTCATTTCAATTCCCTGCAAGCCTTCGTGCGTGGACGCCAGTAGTAAATCGAATTCTGGCCCGTAGCGCTGGACAGCGTCAACTAAGACAGCGTCTCTTATGTTACAGGACAATGCTTGATGATAGGGGTACTTCCTAAACGACAAAGAGGAAGAGTAAACATGGAATTCTGCCAACGATTTCTCGTCAGAATGAAGCGCAACTGAAATCAATGAAACCGAAAATTGACAGAGAAGCTGCAATTTGCTCTCGTCTACTTTACTGGACAACAAGTTCTCGTTTTTGAAATCTTCTTTATTTGATTCGACTTTTTCTGACTTTGTATTTGACTGGGATGTTTTCGCGGCAGACTTTTTGTTCGAAAGTTGAGCTAGACAACTATGCAGACAAACTAGTTTGTCTTGGCTGAACCGAAGTCTTATATCACTCATGCTCCCTTGAACAATAACATTTGCATCATTCAGCAAGGCCCTAGTTGCTATACATCTATCAAGGGACAGATTCACTGAAAACCTCTCTAGCAAACTTAGATTGGATTTCCCTTTCAGATACGTTTCACCCCAGTTTTGACTTCGCCTTCCAGCGAACACTTGCATGTCAGATAGCAGTAAACAGTAGCGTTTGTAAAAAGCAGGAGCATCTGAATTTCGATCTGGTATCTTTTGATTAGTTTGCAGTGAATTGATTCCGCTGGCTGGTTGCGGCTGGTTAGGTTGAGCTGGGCTAAGTTGACCAGTTGGAGGGGAACTTGGCGGAGTCAAAAAATCTTCATCTTCATCGTCAGAATTTTGACCAGCTGGCTTCATGTTCACGCTTTGTTCATTTTGACCCAACGCACAATCAACTGAATCCTTCAATGCGTCGTGCTTTCCTTTCTCGTTGAAGAAAGTTATCTTTCCCAAATCGACTCCGACAATTTGAGAATCCTTTGATTCTATATTTGCGTATATGTAAATCATGGGCGCAGAAACATTAACGAGCACGCTGAATCTGTCTTGGGTTTTCAGACTTGACCCCTCTAATAGAACTGCTAGAGCGCTTTTTACATTGGAGTTGGTCTGCTTTTTGATCTGGTTGTACCTTTGATAGACCTCTTTTTCGAGTCTAGAAACACTGGAGTACTCGAATTGCAGCTTAGACAACTTGGAGGCCATTTTCACAATAGTTTGGTCAAAGACTACGTCAATCGGCTGAGTCTGTAACACATACTTGTGTTCAAATACCCCTGGTCTGTACATGTACCTTTCATAAGTGTAGTCAAATAACTTTGAAGGTTCAGGGGAATCAACATTACTCATCCCAGGCGCTGCGAAACTGCTTTCGGGCGACAACGCTGGACTCAACAGACTCTGGAACCCCTTTTTATACTTTTCTGGAACTTCTCGTTTGCACACTAACGGGCAGTTTAAATTGAGCGTCTTGTTCCACACTTTCAAGTCTAGCAAACTTAATGAGTACTTGGCACCGTTTAATCTTGGGTAGCTCCTGCTATCCCACGACAACTCTGTGAATTTAATCTGAACAATTTCCGAATGCTTTGATTTTTGATTGTCACTTTTTACAGTCAAGGAGCCAGACTGTAACGAGATATTCACTTTGGCGTAGAGATAGTCCACCATTCTTAGACTACAATCGGTGGCTGCGTCTGAAATGAGTCCGAATAGCTCCTCCTCGTCTACGATTACGTTCTCAGACCCAGTCGGCGCACCTCCCGGGTCAAACCCTTTCTCGGGAGACGCCTTCTCACTCCTAGGGGAACTCGCAGCTGCTACATTGTTCCCGTACCACCAGTCAAACCAACCACGTTTCCCACTAATCGCTTCGCTACTTGAACTAGTGGAAGGACTCTGACTTTCGAGAGCTAGCCTTCTCTCGTACGAAACTTCTTTGGCAACTCTTCCGAAAGCAATTCCACGTAGCTTTACAATCACATCAAAGTCTCGATTCAGCTCAAAAGAAGTCTTCTGCTGTTTCTCTTCAATCGTCAAAACTTTCCCTCGAAGAAATTTCTCGTACAATTTTGTATAGTTGACAATTGCGCGAATGTTCTGCAATGTCTTGTCAACTGACACCGGAAGACTAAGTAGCTTTGTTGTACATCTATAAGCATACCACCACCATTGTTTAGCATTTCCAATCACTGGTACATTTGGTAACTCCTTTTTGAAAAATTTGGTTCTTTCATGTCGTTCGATCTCATTGATTAAAAACAAAATAGATCTAACTTGCAACTCCGATATTTCGATGGGAACTTCGTTTATACTCAGCTCTAATGATATTCTGGGCTTCGTTTTTGACTTCAGAGGTAATGGCGATAAATTTCTGAAATATTTGGCACCGCACTGCAAAATGTTCAAAAGGTTTGCCGAGTTTCCCAATTCGCTCGTTGAGACATTGCTGAAGTAGGTCCTCAAATTTTGGTCTGCATTTTCAGTTTGTGAATAATGGGAACAGCTATGATCTAGGTACACACTAAGGGATGATATATGGCCCACTTTATGGACACCTTTCGTGGACATGACAAACGCTGGTTCCCAGTTGGCGTCTGTACTTCGGATTTCCAGTTTTTCCAGGACCACTCCGAAAGCAAACCTTTTCTTTTCTTGTTGGTTGAAATCTTCATAACGAACATGAATATTTGTCACTGTTACTTGTAAATTGTTCACTATATTTGCGACAATGGCGGAAAAGTCAAACCAGTAAGCGGCTGCATCTAAGTTCGAACTATTACTGAGCGAGTCTTTGAAGTTCTTTTCAATTTCATCCAAAGCTTTCTGTTTGTTAAACTGTTCGTTCACACTTCTTGTTCCTTTTTCGGTCTGCTTCGGTCCCAGAATAGCATACAGTCCATCAATGGTGACATTCCAGGGGGAGGACTTGAGTTGGGTTATGGGCACGTTTAGTTTGAACTTGGACACTGATCCGGCGATTACCCGAACAGGTAGATCTAGTTCGTTGAAGGCGCTTGGTTTCAGAGGCAGGTCTCCCAGCTCAACACTTCCCTGCAACAATCCAAGAGAGAGTTGATCTGAGTTAATATTGCGGAAGTACCTGCCAACGTAGCTGTTGATGACCTTAGCTACGAGGCTCTCCAACATTTGCTACCTACAAGGAACTGACAATTTGAGTATTTAATGAACCCTTATATTATTTATAGGGACTTTTGAGGAAGTCAAACAACCACATCAATTGTTCTAAACAGGGAAGGCGTAGAGAAATTGCGTATTTGGGTGTTTTTTTTCCACACAAAGCCAGGTACCACAAAGAACGTGAGTTATCTATCACATTGAAGTCCTTTCAGTCGTGATTTAGACTGCAATAAAACGTGGAATCCCTCATAGGCGAATGGGAGAAAAAAAATCCACCAATCAGATATCAGTATTCCAAAATATGGAAAGAAAGTGTGAAAATTTCAAAGAAAGTAAACATTAATATTTGCAGAATATAAAAACGGCAGAAATATGCAAAAATTTCAAACTGTCACAGGCCGGCCGCCGACGAATTGGAACAAATTTTATATTTCAAGGGTTTCGTTATAAATGAAGCAAAAATTGCTCCATTTAATTCATTTCAGTCGAACGGCACCTGCTTCATTTTAAAAACTTACTTTTTACTGTTATTGTTTTCGGTCCTTCGCCCATGAGTCCTTCGCGCCCATTCGATCCGTCGCCCATGAGAATAGCCCCCACAATGAAAAATTCCGAAAAAATTTCCTATGAGCCGAGAAAAACGGTCCGAATATTCTTCCTGTCGTACCCCAAAATTCCATAAAAATCACTTAAAATAACATCAACTTAGAGTCATTCAAGCTATTTAATTGTTTTAGACGTCAATTAATCGAGAAGACATTTACCAACGCGATGAAAGTTTTTTCAAATTAGTGTCGTTTTTTTTCTGAGTGGTATGATGAAAAGGATCAGAGCGAAAAACTAGAACTTAGGCATATTCGACAGTCATAGTAGAATAGGCAAATTGGGAAAATTTCGCGTAGAAAAACAACTAGTAAAACAAAAAAACATAGAACTTTTTTTTTGATATTTCTATAGCACTAAAAAAAACACCAGAAACTAACTTTACTCGAGTAAAGCTAAGTTTTCACAATTTAATTGAAGCATAACTAACCTTCCGTAAGCCTGCTCCCTCTGAATTAGATCAAAAACTACAATTTTTTAATGAAGTTCAAATCACGACTGAAAGGGCTTTTATAAGTATGATATATCACTAATTTCGATGAATTTTGTGGTACCTGATTTTGTGCGGAAAAAAAACTATAACACTCGAATACAAAGTTCCTCTCCATTTTCAATGGTCGGAACAACTACAGCTGGTAGTTTCTTTACCACTCAAGATTTCATCCAAAGTTTTTATCATGCAACAAGTCATTAAATGAAAAAATACTTCGATAAAATACTTATTTCAAGAGTGATCTGCGAGCTTGATTTTACCACATAAGATTTTGCTTTCAACAGTTGTATCAATCTTGAATAATGAATCCGTGCATAGTTTAAATACAAAAGCGAAGCGTAGCTTCATACCACTTGCGATACATCACAAATATTGCAGGGCAAGATAGAAGACAGAACAGTTAGACGGAATCCTTTATTCGAAGTTTCATCGAAAACAAGATCTAACAAATTGTAAGCAAGAATTGTAAAATGGAAGAAGCTCAATTTGAGAAAATACGCCGAGCAGTATATGATCATTGAAACAATAAATATGAATCGGCAACTAATCTGACCAAACTTGGGTGAAAGCCTGTTGAACAAAAAATCCGTCATAATTAATTTAAAGCTACAAAACTTGGAAATTTGAAAATTCGCACGCCCCTTCCCACACACATATAAATGAATCATTTCTAATGCCCCACAAACAACACAATTTGAGGCGGCTCAAACGATCTAATAATAGCCGAAACTTTAGAAAACGAATAATCAGTGAAAAAAAAACAGAAGGGAAAACTATTTAATGAAAAAAGATCTAATAAGGATAAAAAATATTTATGTTAATTGAACCAAATAATTGAAATCGTCACAAAAAAGTGCAAAAATTTCATTGGCAAAGAAAAACTAATAATGATGAAAAATGAGCAATAGCAAGCCAAAGTTACATGTACCATGTTAACAGCAAACACTAGCGCATTAACAATTTTAAACTTCTACCATTCTACTATCCGAGTTATATACGGGAAAATACTAGCGCGAGACTAAAAACCTTTGCTAATCACAATTTCAATAACCACAGCAAAGTAAAACTTTTTGCAAAAAATTGACATCACCGTTTCAAAACAAGGAAACGAAACAAAATCTAAATCCGCATTTCTTGTTTTGAAAAAAAATTCCAGTAAGTGAGTAAGTAACTAAATACCTAAGTAAGTAAGGAAGGAAGGAAGGATGGAAGTTCTTAAGATTGGTCGAAAAAAAAATAAATTTATTTCATTTCCACTAGCGAGCTTTTTGAACGTTTTCCTGCGTTCTAATGTACCAATTTTTAATCTCTGTACTCTAATTGGTTTATTTTTATCGTAAAAATTTAGTTGCCAGAAAATATGTCTGATATTGGCAGAGTTCTAAGGTAATATGTTTGTCCTTTAAAACTCGATTTTTTGCGATCTTGACATTTTCGAACTTTCTTGTGGCTATTTTCTTGTTTCGCTTAAAAACTTCAACAAGTAAGTAATGATTTTTCAGTGTTTTTGGTAAGTTTTTCTACTGAATAAATATTATTAGAGTTTTTAAGGACATTTAAGTTTTGAAGTTTAGTTTTTGTGTTTTTTTTTAATTTACAAAAAATATTTGCAACTACTATACGACGTTGTAGTATCAAGAAGTCGAAAAAAAGAACAAGCACGCCTTAATTGAAGACTTAGAAACCAATAAACAATTCAGTCGACAGAACTTAAGTCATCAAGGGTTGAGCCGAAACAAATCTGATGAACTACTGCTGAAACAAGGCAACTACTAAACACAATTCAAATGAACAACACTTAATATCTTTTTTGATTATAAAAAGAATTTACGGCCAGGGAAGTGCTAAATGAAGCTCCAAAAACTAGTTCTTCAAGGCTTGAATAATAGCATTTTGTGCAATTATCACAGGTAATAGCTTGAATGATAGACAAACATAACTTGAAATGAGATTGAAAAAGATAATCTTTCACAACAGCTTTTCTCAAACTTAAAAATTTTTAGAATATTTTTGTCAATCGATTTGGGACAAAAACATTTTGATCTGATCTATCACTGCTAATTATTTGATCAGTCCATTCTGATCAGTCCATTCTGCTAATTATTTGTGGTACTTGACTTTGCGGTTAATTTTTCAAAGTCCTTCGAATCAAGCTGAAAAGGTTTCAATATGATGATATATCACTCAACCATTCCGATGATTATTAGTGGTATCTGATTTTGCTAAAAAAAAAGAAAACTAGAACACACCCGAAGACTAAGTTCCTGCCCATTTTCAATTACACAGATAAGTCACGCGGAGCTTCGCAAACTGCGATACCAAAACATATGCCAGTGGCTTCAGGCGTAACATATGCCAGTGGCTTTTTTTTTCATTTTCAAAAACTTAAAATTTCAAGAGTAGACATGACAATGCAACCATTCTCTATCACGGGAATGAATTAAAAAAGCACACATCACAGCCTGAAACAAGGCGAAGGAATCATTTGTGAAAAACGATAAAAAGTTTTTAAAAACGATTTCAATGGGTTTAACTATGGCAAATCTATAACTTTAAGACAAGGCTCAATTTACATCTTTCTTGTGAAAAAAGAAAACGGAATAATTTCAAAGAGGCGAAGCTGCACTTCGCAAACACTAGTGATAACAGGACAAAAAGCAGCTCTATAAAGTGCAATTAGAAAAAGTAGAAATAAGCCGCGAATTGGCTGAGATTCGGCTACGTCTGAGATTCGAAACTGCGACCTAAAAACTATGAGTCTCACGCACTACCACTCAGCCACGGAAGCTTAACAGGAACTAATCACTAGCCTCAAATAAAGCAGAGAACAGATGCTATGCAGTTTCAAATGCTACAAAAAAATTCCAATTAAGTGAATATTTTACTTGCGAGTTGGGTTAGAAAAATGAAGGTTCGTAATAATACACTAAGCTGATCGCTAGAGTAACTAAGGCGTAAAACTTCGTACAAATTCATTTATACTAAACTGTTTTAATCCGCAAAACTTCTTGGAAGTCAATTAATACTCCTTTTACACGAAAAAAAAATCAAATTAAACTAAAGTGAAAATTGTTTAAATCCGTGAAGTGGCGGACAAACAATAACAAAACAAACCATAGACAGTACACAAATTTTCAAAAGAAGACGTCCTGACTGGATTCAAACGCCAGACATTCATTTTTGCAGGCATGAACGTTAACTCCATGCCAATCATGAAGAATGAGCAGCTGAATTTTGATAAATAAAGCAATCAAATGATTCACTAACTTAACTGTTACACTGAAAGCTTAATGAACCTGTAGCACTACTAATGGATTTTAATCCACTGGTATTTTGAAAAAATATATTGCCCAATGATTCAAATTGTGTAATCTGACAATATATAATGAAATTTTTATCCTGCGACCCTAATAATGAAAAATTAAACACCGAAGCGAAGCTGCACTTCGCATACCCAAGCAAAAATATGACCGGTAACTCTGCTGGGAAAACTCACTGAGTAAAAATATGAGCCTAAAAAAATTCTTAAGTGACGCACGCCAATTAGTCTACATAATTGCTAAGTTACGCAAGCCAATTATGACGCATTAGCAACTATTTAAAAACAACTAACATGCCTCAATTTAAAGAGCGGACGCATTTCAGCTAGTATACGAATAACTTGATTAAAAACATCTGACCCTGCCCAGGTTCGAACACTCTTAATTTGTTGCTGGTCTCTTGCGAACCTTTACGATACAGATCCATGATACCTTGAAGCTAAAGGGATATTTGTAGTAAAATAGTCTGTTAGTATTCTTGGCATTGGCTGTACTTAATAGCTGGTTAGTGATCAAAATGAACACATTTTGTCGCAGCAATATCAGCGATTTAAGTTGGGGGAAAAAGAGTTCTTACTCTAACACAAGCTTTGCTTGTGTAAATACGAGCAAAGCTAGTAAAAACAGTTGATGCAGCGATGAGATCATTAGTGACAAAAAATGTTTAATGTTTTCATCTAAAAAAAAACTGGTTTACCGGGTTGCGATACCTTCAATGGTTGTTTAAAACAAAAGATGGTTAAAATGAAAAAAAAACTGCAATAAAAAAGTTAAAGGGCGAGTTATTAAGTGATTCCATTTCCTTGCTCATTCAGATCACCGTTCAACAACCCCCGGGATTCAGCTCGCCGCTCCTCCACGACGCAACCAGAACCGTTTTATTCTAACGTAGCCAAAGGAGTTAATCTTGAGTTACATTAGACGTTTTACATAGCTGAAACACAGCCTTTCTTTAACTAACAATCATTATTTCACTCAAACTGTTACAGTTCACGGTTCGATGTTAAAGTACATTTTCACGATTGGCTCAAACTTACGATATTTAGACTGTTCAGGAATGCTCAACGTCCAGAACCTTATAAATACCATAACTATCAAAAGAGCTAACTTAATCCTAACACCGCTAATCATTTTCACCGAAAAGCTTTCGAAATGATAGATCTTTAAACCTTGGAAACATGGACGAGTACAGTGAACACACCTTTAGAACTCCAGATAAAGAAATTTACGAGTGATCTTAAAAACATCAAGGTACTAATAAAACTGAGAGTCTAGGTGTAGATGCTGCTTGTTTGAAAAAAAGTAGCAAAGATAAGCATTAGAAAAAAGGCCAGAACTGTCGTAGTTCCTGCTCAGTTTTTGCAAATGGAGTCTGTTGTGATGAACTTAGTCGGCTCTGTAAGTGTTCCGAGCAATAGTCAATACTCAGTTTTAATTTAACCGCGTTTAATATTTTAATTATTCATCGATAATTTTTCTATTAATCAGCAATTTTAACTGCGCTCATTCACTACTGTTCGCTAGAAAAAATTGAGATCAAGCTTTTTGACATAGTGAACTGCCCAGAGGAACTTCACTAGCTTCGAACTAGCGACAGATCTGCCACACTGGAGTCTTTTTTGCTGCGTTGTTGTGGACTTTAAAGCAAAATTAGTAGCAAAATCTTCTACTGCATTTTTCAAATGCTGAATGAAAATCGAAGCTCACTCATGTTTCGAAAGATTGCGCCCGTTTTTCGAGAAACGGGAATTTTTCGAGAAACTCCCTAACTGGCTCAATTCTCCACTTTCGAACACTTTACATACTCTAAGTGCAAAAAACTTTAGCAGGATTATTTTATTCAGGTGACATGAGCTGTTGCAGAAACTACAACTTGGTACTCCAAAATGGAGAACATTCTGATTGACTCTGCCTACAGCCGGAATCTACGTTTCAGTTTCCAACTAATTTTTTCGGGTTCAGTTCAGTGCAGTCACCCTGATAGCAAAGTGCTGCAACTCCGCGAAACTAAAGAAAACTTTACACGCTATCCCTAAAACACTCGCTAGACAAGCTCAATTCTGAAAAGATTTCATCTGCAAAAATTCTTTGTTGCACGCACTAAAAGCTGATTTTGCGAAAAATTCCAATCATTGTGACACTTTAATATTGCTTTACACATAACTTTACTTTCATTGGAACAAAACATACTTGGTTACAGTTTATAGAGCAACTTAAGATAGAATATCGCTCCTATTCCAAGGATTCGGAGAACATCGCATACTTGGTTGCTTCGATGTCAACAGGTGACTTAGGCCTCCTCGCCTTCCTCTTCCTCCTCGAACTCGCCCTCCTCCTCGGCGGTGGCATCCTGGTACTGCTGGTACTCAGAGACCAAGTCGTTCATGTTGCTCTCGGCCTCAGTGAATTCCATCTCGTCCATGCCCTCACCAGTGTACCAATGCAAGAAAGCCTTTCGTCGGAACATAGCGGTGAACTGTTCGCTCACTCGCTTGAACAGCTCCTGAATGGCGGTGCTGTTTCCGATGAAGGTGGCCGACATCTTCAGTCCTCTAGGAGGGATGTCACAGACGGCGGTCTTGACGTTGTTCGGGATCCATTCGACGAAGTAGCTGCTGTTCTTGTTCTGCACATTCAACATCTGTTCGTCGACTTCCTTCATGGACATACGTCCTCTGAACATGGCTGCGACAGTCAGGTATCGTCCGTGTCTTGGGTCACAAGCGGCCATCATGTTCTTGGCATCGAACATCTGCTGGGTCAGCTCAGGGACGGTCAAAGCTCGGTATTGCTGAGATCCTCGCGAGGTCAAAGGAGCGAACCCTGGCATGAAGAAATGCAGACGAGGGAACGGCACCATGTTGACTGCCAATTTTCTCAAGTCAGCGTTCAACTGACCGGGGAATCTGAGACAGGTGGTGACACCAGACATGGTGGCGGAGACGAGGTGGTTCAAATCACCGTAGGTGGGAGTGGTCAACTTCAGGGTTCTGAAGCAGATATCGTACAGAGCCTCGTTATCAATGCAGTAGGTCTCATCGGTGTTCTCAACCAGCTGGTGCACGGATAGGGTGGCGTTGTACGGTTCCACGACAGTGTCTGACACCTTAGGTGAAGGTACGACGGAAAAGGTGTTCATGATTCTGTCGGGGTACTCCTCTCGGATCTTGGAGATGAGAAGGGTTCCCATTCCGGATCCGGTACCACCTCCCAGAGAGTGAGTCAGCTGGAATCCCTGAAGACAATCGCAGCCCTCGGCTTCCTTTCGGACAACATCCAAGACAGAGTCGACAAGTTCGGCTCCCTCGGTGTAGTGTCCCTTAGCCCAGTTGTTACCAGCTCCAGACTGTCCTACAACAGCAAGTTACAATTAATCACCGGCACAATTACTACATCCAACCACCTCATTGGAAACAATTCACTCAAAAAACTCAAGACTGAGGAACTCACCGAAAACGAAGTTATCGGGTCTGAAGATCTGTCCGAAAGGTCCGGATCTGACTGAGTCCATGGTTCCGGGCTCCAAGTCTACCAAGACTGCTCTAGGCACGTATTTGCCACCGGTAGCTTCGTTGTAGTAGACATTGATTCTCTCCAGCTGCAGATCGGAGTCTCCGTGGTAGGTTCCGGTGGGGTCAACGCCGTGTTCGTCAGAGATGACCTCCCAGAACTATAACATAAATCAAAATTTAGCAAATCAAACACCTACAAATCCACTGTCTTCAATTAGCCTGATTTAAAAAAAATTCATGTGTTCAAGGGTTGGGTTCAGTTTAATTTTCTTGTTACAAGATACTGACTTGTTCGAAACAGAGGAACTATTACTAATGAAGAGTTGACTTGCCTTAGCTCCGATCTGGTTTCCGCACTGTCCGGCTTGCAAGTGAACGATTTCCCTCATTTTGAATTAGGTTGAATTTGATTTGTACACGCGAAGAAAAAGTGGTGGAAGTTGCTAGCAACTGAATCTGAAAAGTATATCTAAAATAATGACTTCAATTAAGATTGAATGTAATTTAAGATGGCGCGTTACCACGCCAACAACCAGTCCGGCGTCTAATTAAAAACAACAAACAGAAACAAGTAGAGCTAACGCCTTCGTCCCGACTCACTCATGAAGAGACGAGCCATTAATGAAGTTAAAACTATCCACTGCATGTTTAAAACTGAACAAAGCCATTTAAAAATTGCCACAAAATACTTGAACAGCCGAATCTGTAACAAGCATGTCTAATATTTATTCTATTACCTAAAGTTACTTAACCAAAAGAAAATATCCAAAAGAAGCCAAAATAATACCATGTATTAATATTTTTCTCAATTGGTACAAAATGCACCAAAAATACCATACTAAAGAAAACGCAAAAAAGCACGTACCTTTTTGTAACAAAGTTAGCAATAAAATGTTAAAACGAAAAATGCTTGCAGCCAAAATAACAAACAAAACAACACACAAAACACGCTGAATTTCGATGGTGTGTTGGTTTTGTTTTGAGAGTGACACGTGCGCTTCAAAAATATCCAAAACAACTTGGCTTCAAGAATGGTTTGGTGCAAAAAACCGCGACGAACGACCGTTGAAAACAAGAGAAACGCGCAGGTGAAGCCACGTCATATAATCAAACCATAGCCATATAAGGCCTACACAAAATAATTACCGTCCTGAGATCGTTCTAAGGCCTCAGAAAACATGCTTCAAAAAAACGAAAAAATCTTCAGAAAAAATCTCGCAGGTGCTTCCAGAAATAAGATTGAAACGGTAACTGGTCATAATTTCCAGATAAAACAAAAGTAGAGAATTTTCAAGCTAAAAAATTAGGAATGAAATGTATAAATAAGATTTGCAGGTGTTTTTAAAACTATGCTCAAACTGTAACGGAACGCTATTTTACTGTGCACATTTCAGATAGAAACAAGCAAGAGCTGGAAACCAGGGAAACGAGAAGCAGAATTATATACAATTCTAACCAAGTATATGGAAAACACGGCAATAAACCAGTGGGTCATTCAGTTATCCATGTTCCGGATTTTTGTATTTCAGCCTTGGAATGAAATAAATGAGCACTGTTCGGTTCAGATGGCCCAAAAACTTCCCAATAAGGGACCTGAAGTGCCTTAGGAATTACCACAGTGTGGATTAGGTCATGTTCTAATTTTAGCGAAATAAAATTGGTTAAAAACAGTTCGCTCTAGAAGCAGACACATTTACGGGCATAATGATCCCGAAGCAGAAATTTTTCGCAATTATTTACTAATCGGTGTAGAACAATAAAACACCAGAAATAAGGGGGCGTAGTGATAAGTATGTGTGCTCATTAGCAGGCAATGATTGCTTTGATTAGGTGTTAATTCGAAAAGTCAAATTAGCCTAAATCTTAAAAATCACTTAATAAAGAATTGAAATTTCATTTTCTAACAATTAAATTTTCGAGAATGTGAAAACTGACCTTTTTTACATTAATCGATACAAATGCTATTAGCACGCTCCTCAAAAAGAAGACAGGTTTTGCAATCAGTAGGCAAAAAAATTTCAGTCACAGTCGGAAAAGAGTGATTAACATTACAATAGCTTTTTATTAAATTAGCCCCCGGCCTGCTTACTGCAGGAACAACCACGAGGGAGGGAGATGTCATATATATCGCCTCAGCCAGTCCAACCCTGAAGAGTCGGATGACACTGGGAACCCTCCAACCGTGACCGAAGCGGGATTCATACGCAAGACCCCGGTGTTGAGTGACAAGCGCCTAGCCCACTCGGCCACGGCTGCTCTTTAATATAGCATGATCTATAAGGAAGTTTTCGGCTTTTTTGTTTATTTTTTTTAAAAAGCGGTTTGGAAGTGGTGTCTGCTCTCAGCACTATTTGATTATCAGAGAACTGATCATTTTGAAAACAAAACGCAGTATTTGGAAAATATTATCGATGATACATAATACAGAATGGGCCAAGAACTACGCAACAAATCAAACACTTTCACCATTTCTGATCACTTAGCTGGGCTATTTCGATTTACTAGCTCTTTTGCTTCTTTCTTGCTTTCAAAAACGAAAGTTGGCTGAAATTGTAACTGGGTAAAGTGTTACATAATCATGCAGTAACCTAGTCACTGTGCCAGATAAGGGAAACGTCACACGAATAGACACGTTTACAAATCACAGGTTTATGACATGAGAAGCCGGTTGCCATGCGAAAAGCACAAAATATCAGCAAAGCTGCTAATTCTACAAAAATGTGCCGAGTAAAATTTTCAGAAAAACTACCATTTTACCTCATCTGCGTATGTGCCGAAAACCAAACTGATGTTATGTTTTTCAATAGCACCAATTTTGATTCTATATTGAAATGTAGCAGAGGAAAAGACGAAAGTATGTGAGCCGAAATTAGAAAAATTATATATGGATCTTTTTACTGTTTCCGTCCAAAATAAATTAACAGCTGGTCATTTCCTAATAGAACGCATCACTAAGTTATGTTCTACTAAAGCAAATAGTTTCAGACGGTATTATTAGGAAGGTCCAAAAAACTTATATGAAAATGTAAAAGAAATAAATATAACCCAAACTAAAATGAATTCAAACTAAAAATCTGATTTGGATATACAACCAGCATAAAACCAAAAACAAGTGTAAAAAAATTATTTTTACATTTTAAATGCCTCGAACTATACATTAACACAGAAAAGAAGAAAAGCTGAAACCACAGAGGCGAACCCGAGCTTCGCACATTTTACGAAATAATTATCAGCTAGCTGACAAAAACGAACATTGGACAATTTTTGGAAAAAAAAACGTGAAATAAACTGAAAAGATTTTCATACATTTGCCTCTATTCGTCGGGTTAGTTCATTGTGAAAAACGTTCAATTAAAACATTTTCTATAGTCTAAACTATTTAAAAACTTACAAAGCCGTAACAAGCCGACAATTGTTGAACAGTCACCAGTTATGCCAAATTAATTTTCGAAAACAAACTTGGGGCTATAAAACATTTTGGATGTCAAATTACTAAGTTCCAAACACTCATAAAAAAATTTGCCATCAAACAACCTAATATAAGTCAACTAAGCAATATATTTTGACCCGAAACGCCCTTTGAAATCGCAGAGGCAAAACGAAAAGTGAAACATGCTCAAAAGATGCTCAGAAACCGAGTTGCTGGCCAGAAAATTTGAAGGTTCTCTGTTTAGCAAGTTATTAGCCAACAAAAAGTCTTTATTGGGATTTGATATCCTTGCTAATCGCAAGTGTAACCATCGGTTAAATCATAACTTCAGATAATTCAAGATATGAAGCTCCATTCATTGACTAAGTGGCGAATGAAGGCAGAATACAACGCAGAGAAAATCGTTCTAAAATTGTAGAAGTGGTGTCTGCTCTTAGCACTATCTGATTATCAGAGAATTGATCATTTTTAAAAAAAACGCAGTCATTCAAAAATATTCTCGATGATACATAATACAAAATAGGCCAAGAACTACGCAACAAATCAAACACTTTCACCATTTCTGATCACTTAGCTGGGCTATTTTGATTTACTAGCTCTTTTTCTTCTTTCTTGCTTTAAAAACGAAAGTTGGCTGAAATTGTAACGGGGTAAAGTGTTACATAATCATGCAGTAAACTAGTCACTGTGCCAGATAAGGGAAACGTCACATGAATAGACACGTTTACCAATCACAGGTTTATGACATGAGAAGCCGGTTGCCATGCGAAAAGCACAAAATATCAGCAAAGCTGCTAATTCTACAAAAATGTGCCGAGTAAAATTTTCAGAAAAACTACCATTTTACCTCATCTGCGTATGTGCCAAAAACCAAACTGATGTTATGTTTTTCAATAGCACCAATTTTGATTCTATATTGAAATGTAGCAGAGGAAAAGACGACAGTATCTGAGTCGAAATTAGAAAAATAATATATGGATCTTTTTACTGTTTCCGGCCAAAATAAATTAACAGCTGGTCATTTCCTAATAAAACTCATCACTAAGTTATGTTCTACTAAAGCAAATAATTTCAGACGGTATTATTAGGAAGGTCCAAAAAACTTATATGAAAATGTAAAAGAAATAAATATAACCCAGACATTTGAATAAGCGCTAATGATATCAAGGCAACCGCAAAAAAAACAATTTAAGCAAAGATGACCGGTTGCTGTGCAAGTAGTACAGATAGTTCCGTCCATAATCTTGAAAAACTACAGAAAAAGTTTTCTAATTTCGCGTTGTTTTTTTTCTGCATAGTGTAATGAAAAGATCTGAAGGAAAGCCAATAACTCTCCATATTTTATACTCGTAATAAAATAAGCAAAGAAACTAATATACACCCAAAGACAAAAAATCATCCCCATTTTCACTGGTTGAAACAAATACTAAATTAAGCTTCGAAAAACTAAATACTTAGGTGACTTAAGGTTATTCATGAGTTCTTCCTTTTTGATTGAAACGTTTTCCTAAACTTATCTTGAAGAAACTGGACAATATAATTTTTTCATTCGTATGGGAGTTCTTAACGTTTAAAGCCACTTCTGAAACGTCAATTGAACCCTCTAACCGATAAAAGGAAAGACTGAGAGCAAAAAAAAACTTGAAATTGTTGTTCAGAAACTAAACAAGTGTCAATTTAAATTTTAAAAAAATCCAAAAATAAAATGAAAAATGCCTGATAAGTAATTCAAATATTAGAGATAAATTCGCATCAAAACAAAATCTAAGGACAGAGTTAACATCCTACCCCCCCCCCCCCCAAAGCCATTAAATTTGCTAAGCGCTGCATGTAAAATGCTCGATTCTGATTGGCTGAAAATCCCAATTTAGAACCAAGTTAACAATCCTCCCCCCAAATGGCTTTGGGGGGGGGGGGGGGGGGGGGGGGTAGGATGTTAACTTGGTTCTAAATTGGGATTTTTCAGCCAATCAGAATCGAGCACTTTACATGCAGCGCTTAGCAAATTTAATTTAAATTAAGCG